TTGAGAAGATCTTAGAACCAGATAGCTGATCCAACATATCATCTAGACGGGGAATTGGAAACCGGTACTTCACTGTAATTCTGTTGATCGCTCGGCTGTCAACACACATACGCCAAGAACCATCTTTCTTTGGCACTAACAGAGCAGGGACTGCACATGGGCTCATACTCTCTCGGATATAGCCCCTCTCCAACAACTCTTCCACCTGTCGCTGCAACTCTTCGGCCTCCTTGGGACTGAGGCGATATGCTGGTCGATTTGGCAAACTTGACCCAGGAACAAGGTCAATTTGATGCTGAATATCCCTCATAGGTGGTAGTCCAGGAGGAAGATCCTCTGGCATCAAGTTAGAGAATTCTGCTAGCAACCGCTGCACCTCTACTGGTAAATCTGTATCCACGTCTACTGCATTGTTCTCGCAAGGTAGCAAGGCATAGACCACGTCGCCATGCTCAATCTCATCTAAAAACCTGGACATAGAAAGCAGATTAGTATTATGGGTTACTGGGGTAGGAGTAAGTCCTTCCCGCCGGGGTGCCAACACAATCTTTTTTCCCTTGATGCTAAGGGAATATGTATTCTTCCGTCCATCATGAATGACACTGCGATCATACTGCCAAGGTCGACCCAACAATATATGACACGCATCCATAGACACAACATCACACCAGGCATTATCAAAATATTTTCTACCAATTGAAAAAGACACCAGGCATCGCCTATCAACTGTTACCTCACTGTCTTTATTTAGCCATGACAACTTGTATGGCTTAGGATGACGGTCCGTCTTCAACTGCAATTTCTGGACAACCTCCTCGGACACTACATTCTCACAACTGCCGCTGTCAATGATCATTTTGCAGACTTTATCTGCAACTGTGCAAGTCGTGTGGAAAATATTGGTTCTCAACCAATCGTCCCCTGAATCGCCCTTGGGGGTAAGTAGACTCTTGCGAACGACCAGAGTCTCATGACCATCTCCATATAGCACATCATCAGTCTCATCATCGTCATACACGGGTTCGCCAATCTCCTCATTCTCGTCTTCCACGTTTTCCTCAATCAACAAATTTTTGCCCTTTTGACTAGCAGGCTTCCTGCAATCAGTCGCCCTATGCCCTTGTTCACCACAACGAAAACATCTAATAGTAGGGTTAGAATTACCCTGCGGTGGCTGCTGAGCAGGACGGGACTCTTGAGGGCGAACTGGTCGACTGTTGTGATCGCTCCTGATCACTGGTCTCCTGTTTTGCTGTTTTTCAACAGCAAGTGCACGCTGGTATGCTTCCGAAACACTCCACAATGAATGAAGGCTGAGGACATCTTGCAAGGGCTGGCGTAAACCCCCCAAATATCGCGCCACCATCTGCTCCTCCGTCTCAGATAAATCGTTCCGGGCGACCAATTGGTAAAACTCCTCCGTGTAATCATCGACTGATCGCGCGCCCTGCCTCAACGCATGAAGTCGCTGAAATAAGGTTTGCGTGTAGCCGAAGGGAAGGAAGTGGCCCTTCATCTTCTTTTTCATCTTCTCCCAATCAGTGATCTTGGCTTTGCCCTGTCTTTCTCGTGAACGTCGTAACTGTTCCCACCACGCAGATGCTCTGCCCTTGAGTTTGATGGCGATCAGTTTCACTTTCACACGATCGGGGACTTCCTTATATTCAAAAATACGCTCCACTTCATTAATCCAATCCACGAATCCCTCGGCCTGTAATGTACCAGAAAACTCAGGGAGATCGACCCGAAAACCGAGGTCTCCATGACGCTCCTCCCGACCACGGTGCTCCCGGAATCCTGCGCCCCGGAATCCTGCGCGATTGTGATATGGGTTTTCGAAAGTGGAATTTGTATCGTGATCAGAGGCCTCACGATCCTCTAAATCCTGCGCCGCTAGGCGCTGGGTTAATTCTGCGACTTGCCTCTGCAAATCCGCAATCATCACATCCTGAACGCTGCGATCACGGCGTTGGGCTTCCTCATTCGGAACCTGCTCACGACGACCACGACCACGACCTCCAGCCATTGAAACTGGTGAAATTTCCCAAGAAGATGTTGAAGCTCTGATACCAACTGACGCCAGACAGAATAGTGATTATCCTGTAGGCTAGCTCCGACAGACGATTCACAAGAGAAAATTCGCCCAAAAACCAGAGAAAAAAAAAGTCTCTAGGGTTTAATAAAATATTATAAAATCAATAACTGTCAAAAGCAGTCCACAAGCCGGACTGTTATAGCTAAAAAATCGTCTTTATTCGAATTTTGCCAAAAATAGCAAAAATCGTATTTATTCGAATTTTGCCAAAAATAGCAAAATCCCGAAAATCACTCTAAATTGAAATTCGAAATAAAATAAGCAATCTCCCAAAAATCCGGTCTAAATCGGATTTAAATTGACTTCCTAATTAACAATCGAAATATTACCATAAATAGTAAAAAATAACTAAATCTAGTGATTCGGAGGGGAAAACGGCAGAATTTGAGGTTGAAAAAAAGGCCACATGGAGCGTAGCTCAATGTGGAGAGCGTGCGCGTCGAAAAGAGCTTTCCGGATTGGGGTCTTATGCGCGATTCTGACACCTGTAGCCAAAGTTATGGCCAAAAGACTGAAACATACTCAAAACGACCCCAATAAGGAACATGTCACAATCAATTCCCGCCTTTGCGCTGATCTGCCAACTCATGGTATCTCAGCGCCATCAACGTGCAATCTGACAGCTCAGCATCATCTGTCTCAGATCCCCCTGCATCACTATTGAATATATCGACCCCCTCCACTTTTTTTCTTCTTCTTCTTCCCAATAAAGGAAAACCATGCATTTCAGATTCACTACCAATGGTAAATGTCAAACTGTTTCTTTATCTTCCTTGGCTTCTTCTTGCTGTGTTTGTTGGAATCCAAGCGAAGAGGTCGACAAATTAGAAAGTAAGGGATTTTACTACTATTATTAGCACTATAAAGTTTTGATGTTTCATGAAGAAATCAGGGTGCTAACATGGGCTGTTTTGGTGTTGGGGAGTTCATGCAATCTAAAAAGCTCGTCAAAGAAGCTTGAAAATATAGAGGAGAATGGTTCTCCAAGGTGGTTACAATCGTCTTGCCCGCTTCCTGAAACTCCAACAGAATCAATGGACTATCTTGCCAGATCATGGAGTCTGTCTGCTATGGAACTCTCCAAAGCACTTTCCAAGACGCATATACCACCTTCCAATGCCATTGATGACGACGACAAGGCTTCATCGGCTTCTTCTGTTGGAAATATCCAAACAGATCATTCAATCACCACTGCTTCAAGGCAATCCGTAAGAATTATGATCCCTTCTTTTCTTTATCCAATATGTTGTCAAAGAATCCTATGCTTTTAATAATATATCGTTTTTGCCTTCCTTTCTTCAAAGAATTTGCTTAGTATGATCAATGTGTCATCATATATACTTACCATGATTGGTTTTGTTTCCAATGTGAAGATATACAAGAGCATTGTAAGAGGGAGAACAATGGGGAAATGGTTGAAGGATCAGAGAGAGGAAGAAGCTGCCGTTGCAGCACTTACGGCCTCTAGTGCGATGGTTCAAGAAATGGAAACTACTTGTCTTAAGACGTCGTCTAAAGTATCGAATGCTATTGCATCTGCGGCCACTCTTGTTGCTTCGCACTGCATTGAGATTGCAGAGGACATGGGTGCTGATCATGACCAAATCTTGACAGTGGTAAACTCTGCAATGACTGCACGAACCAGTGGTGATATAATGACCCTAACAGCCGGAGCTGCGACAGGTCGATCAAACTGCTTCTAAAATTCCTTCATCCGAATCGGAAATTTGCATGTCTCTATTACCTTTTCCGTTAACTGGTCATTTGCCATGGCTGAAAGGAACCATTAATATAGTTGGACAGCAACAGCTAATAGGGAATAGCTGAAGCATGATAATCGGATGAATTTGTCGATCAGTTTCACGATCATAACATTAATAGTATCATATACGATTTAATGCAGCCTTGCGAGGAGCTGCCGCCTTAAGGGCAAGGCTGCAAAAGACTGGTACTTTTTCTTTGAGTGAAGATGGTAACGGATCGAATATCTCAACAGCATTGAACTTTGTTGCAACCGGGGGAGAACTACTCAAGCGTACAAGGAAAGTTACATTTTCCCCAGTCTTATTAGTCAGATACATCAAATCTTCAATCTTTATCACTCAGTTACAAAATATTACATCTCATTACCGAATTTATGTTGATTACAGGAGCTTTACATTGGAAGCAAGTTTCTTTCTATATAAACTCTAACTGGCAGGTATGAAATCCAAGTACTTGCACTTTGATTATTTAGATTTTGTTTAGCTTACATACTCTAAATGCATATTATTTTGAGCTTGTTATCTGAGAGAGGTTATAATCTTTTACTGAAAAACAAACACATGGGAGGCACGTACACAAAAAAGAAGTGTAAGCTATGCATCATCGGCTCATACTCGAGATTAATCAATTTTCTTATTAATTTAAGCCTGCTGTGTTAACAGAGTTTGGGCTGTGCTTTTTCAGGTGTGATCGTGGGAGTTCATGATGGCATCCTGGCATGGCCAAGAAGGGAGAAAGAATACAATGATGAGCGGAGAGCTTATTTTGGGATTAAAACTGCAGAGAGGATAATCGAATTTGAGTGCAGGAGTAGAAGTGACAAACAGATGTGGATGGATGGGATCCGACATATGTTGAATTGTTGTAAAAATATAGCATATTTCTGAGAGGCATTTTTTTGGATCGACGGAAAAAGCTAGATTTTCATTTCTGTGAAACAATCATGTTGAAAATGTGTTTGATTCCTCAGACCCTTAGCTGAGGGAGGTCATTGGATGTTCCATGTTTGAGGCCTCAATATCGTTCAAGAACATTAATATTACGAAAAACTGACGAACAAATACAACCAAAAAACTAAGTTTCCCATCGGGTAGATACTTCTAAAGCTGCGACAGTTTCATCAGATTTCAGGAACCATTTTTGTGATTCTGTTTTGCAGTTGGATTGGCATGAAAGCTCCATGAAAACCATCCGGAACTCTGCATGGTAGTGTGATTTTAGCAACTGGTTCATTGAGGAAGTTCTTGGCGTCAATTATATAAGCCTGTATAAATTAATCCAAGGAAATCAAGCAGATACAGAGATCAGATCAGATGAACCCCTCATTTCCTGAATTATCAAAACAATAACACTTGGTTCGACTTACTTGAGATACATTAGTAACTTGGTGGTGAACAAATGTGATAATCCAACCATCATCTTCTTCAACGCCACCTTCTTTAGGAACAAAGGCAGCTCCGCTACAATATGTGTTCTTCTCAAACATGTGATATTCTACTTTGATTGATCCTTCTACTTGGTTCCCACCCTATAGTTTCACATATTGAGTTGGGGATTGTAAATTCATTCAAGATAAAAAGAAATGCATGAGAAACCTGTATTGATTACCAGAGAAACCCCTGTGTTTTGCTCTCCAAAGTATAGCTTGGCAAGTCCCCCAAATCTCCCCATGCCTGAAATAACCACATGAAAAGAAAGACCATGTTTTCATTTTTTTTTTTAATATGGCAACAAGTTGAAGTTAAGGGGGCTTATGTTTTTCCTGCTACCTGAGGCGGAGCTTGGGTCCAAATTACATACTTGGGTGTAACAGTACTTGTTTTTGACACCTACAAAAGCATCATTAATCATAGGAAATTCCATGGGGAAATGATCTGGTTCTATCAGAAATCTCTCCATCACATCTCCGGTTCGCATATTCAGTCTCCATTCATATGGACGATGAAACAATAACTGGTCTTCTGAAATGGCATCTTCCATCGGTTTACCAGGTTTAAATTTTGCTGGAAACCACTCAAATTGCTTTGAACCCGGTTGAGGTCCTGGTATGACTGATGCAAGAGCTCTAGACCCCCATACAACAACCTATATATATATAGCTCTCTCAAATTTAAAATAGCCACATAATTCATGGTAGATAATTTAGGTGATTAAGTTACCTCATCATCATCCTCAAAGCAATTGATAATGTGAAATGTGCAATTTGGTTTCACTTCAAACCACCGGATTGAATCTACCTCTCCATAACGAGGCATTATACCAATTCTTGCATATCCTTCACTTTCATATTTTATTAACCTGCGTAAACGTTTTTTTTTTTGTTATGGAAAGAAGGGATACATTCTGATAAAGAACCGAAGAATAGGAATTAGGAACTCACTGGCCACCATGGATGAGTCTATTCACGTCTACAGTTATTGGGCAATCCAAGAACACATTATACCTGCAAATTAAAACAAGACCCCCTCGGAATATTAATTTCTTTGATTAAGCAGCTGACAGTTTCAAAACTACACATAAGAAAACACTAAATTTCACCTCTTTGTAACTCCAAGTTCATGGCAAAGTGGGCATCTATCGAGTTTAAGATCCAACTTGTGAAGTAATCTCTTCCCATCAGCTGAAATTACTCCCATTTCAACGAAAGGTTTAGTTGCTGCGATTCCCATGGTGACCAGCTCCCCAGTACCTGGAGCTTTCTGTAATTTACAAAATGAATTGAGTAAAATCTTATTATATGTAATAAAATTCATGTAGTTTTGATCAAGTACCTTAGGATGGGAAGTAAATGGTCGGTTCCATGCTCCATTGACATCCCAATCACCTAAAGCTTCAAGTGTTAAGATGTCAATCTCTTGAGGCAAGTCATTTTCAGCAATGGAGTACAACCTCCCCGAATGCTCAAAAACGTTGGTATTACTCATATTCTTGAATGGTTTTCCGAATCTCAGCTGGAGAATTACCAACAGACATAAGGATATCAATTTCATGCTTAAATTAAACTTCATTATGAACCCAAAGCTTAGTTAATTTTGTCTGGATAAGCAATCCCACCATATTGAGCAAGTGAGAGGAGAAAACAGCTAGAGCATCCCCTTGGACGGCAGGAAGAAAAGAGGGTTTGTTTCGAAGTTTTTCAAGCTTGAATGTGTCGGTTTCCACATATCTGTTACTGTAAATAACAGTCCATCTCCAATTAGTGTCTTTACTAAAGTACAAAGCGTGAAGCATTCCTTCTCCTTCAACCCATATTGGACTTGACTTCCCAAATATAGACTCGGTTGACTTTAATCCTCCAAACGTTGGGTTTGGTCCTGCAAGTATAACCATGTCAACATTGACCTTGAACAAAGAGATTTACCATCTATCACACGTAAGGACGGACAAATAAACTGATGTTGAGGAACGAAGGTGAAAATAAATTATTAATAAAAGATATCTAAAACATACAATAATTTAAAAATTTTAAAAGACAGCTAGAGATAACCCTGATGTCACGTGACTCACGTTACAATCACCAAAAACCTCATCTTTGATTTCATGGAAAAATTTAATGTTTGGTATTCGACCCATTGATCAAATATAAATTACAATCTCATATGTTAATATCTCATACTGTGCCAGCGCATATGCCATGTGGTGAGTTATTTAATCAGGTAATAGTCTAATAGAGTAAAAGAGAAAAAAACAACCATTTCTTATGTAGACTCCTTGAGGAAAATCAGTTGGAATACCGCCATGGATGTTGGTGACAATTGCAGCTTCTCTCAGTTCATCAGCTGGAGCAGTGTTTGTCTGTCCAACATTTGCAAACGTAGGTAAACCTATAGACGTTCCGATTTATACACATATGCATATACCTGATCTGTGTCCGAAGAGCAGTCAACGAACTCGAAAGCAGAATCTACAAATGCATCAAGCAACTTTAATGAAGTGTTCTTGACCGCAGCTTTCAGGACATCCAAACCAAAACCAAGTTGTTGCAGTTCGCTCAAAAATGGCTGTCAGTCACCATTAATACACACACACACATATATATGTTAGATTAAGTCAATTCTCATGAGTCATAATCAGTAAGAAAGAGAGTTGCTAATTACCTTGAAAGAAGAAGAACGATGATCAGTTTTCTTGAGATTAACGTTGTGTGAGAATGAGACTGTGGGCTTTCGGTAGGTGCAGTGCCCTTGAAATGGGACGTAACATGCCATCTTTTTTTTTTCCCTTTCTTTGTAGGAAACGCTTGCTGTTTCTCAAATTGTTTATAAAGCGAAAAGCATGAAAATATATAGAAACACAATACATGCATGCACATGGACTTCAAAGTTATCAGTTATCCTTAGCTATCGTCACCGGCGGATGAATGTACATAGCATAGGGGCACATGTCACCTCGAATTCAAATTTTTGTATACTAATTATTCATTTTATTAAAAATATTTATCTTAAAATTTTATTATATTCACTTTGAAATTAAAATTTATTTATATTATTTATTTATTTAATGAAGATGCCTCATTTTTAAAATGAATTTTTTATTATCAATTATTAATATTAAAAAATATTTCTTAACCCATCACTAAAATTATTATCGGCTCAGTCGGTCCTACACGAGGGTGTTAGGGGGTAGTTCTGCGGTGCGGCGCCTAAAAAACGGCTAATATACGGCGTGACCGGTTAAACAAGTGACCGGTTAAAATTTAGACCGGTTATGTTATATTATTTAACCGGAAATATTATAAAGTACAATAACATACTAGGTAGCGCTTATATAATGTAATAGGTAGCGCTTATATTTACCTATTTTATAAGTAAACCGGTATATTTATACCGATAGCATTGCAAATTTACCTATTACATTATATTATATTGAAAGTGTCCATACTTTTTATAAAAATGATCGATATTTCTTTTAAAGTTATGTAATTTATGTTTCAATTTTTTTTAATAGTGTTTCATGTTTTCCACCTACAATATTAATTTAATAATTTCATTTGCACAAAAAATTATTTGATTGTTTTGATATTTTATAAAATATTATTTAGAATTTTTAATTTAATAATAATATATCGTAACGTAAAAATAAATCATTAGACGCCTATAATTACTAAATTAATATCTTAAAACTCACTCAAAAGATAACCTTAAATTAATGTTTTCCACAGTGAGCATTGCAAATTTACCTATTACATTATATTATATTGAAAGTGTCCATACTTTTTATAAAAAGGATCGATACTTCTTTTAAAGTTATGTAATTTATGTTTCAATTTTTTTAATAGTGTTTCATGTTTTCCACCTACAATATTAATTTAATAATTTCATTTGCACAAAAAAATATTTGATTGTTTTGATATTTTATAAAATAATATTTAGAATTTTTAATTTAATAATAATATATATCGTAACGAAAAAAATAAATCATTAGATGCCTATAATTACTAAATTAATATCTTAAAACTCACTCAAAAGATAACCTTAAATTAATGTTTTCCACAGTGAAAAAAGTATGGACACTTTTATAAAAATGATAGACACTTTACAATATAACCACTACCTATTACATTATATAAACGATACCTATTACATTATATAAGCGCTACCTATTACATCATATGTTTACCTATTATATTGAAAGTGTACATACTTTTTATAAAAATGATCGATACTTTTTTTTAAAAGTTATGTAATTTATGTTTCAATTTTTTTAACAGTGTTTCATGTTTTCCACCTACAATATTAATTTAATAATTTCATTTACACAAAAAATTATTTGATTGTTTTGATATTTTATAAAATATTATTTAGAATTTTTAATTTAATAATAATATATATCGTAACGTAAAAAATAAATCATTAGACGCCTATAATTACTAAATTAATATCTTAAAACTCACTCAAAGGATAACCTTAAGAACACTTGAAGAAGCAAGAGAACAACTATCCAAGCAATCAAAAACGAGAAAATCCCAACATGATAACAACTGAACATATCATATCAATGTTCAAACTCAAGTTGTAGATTTTGATTTCCTTTTGCTTGGCATCATATGAGATTTGGATTTTGATTTCCTTTTGCTTGGCACCATATGAGCTTTGGATTTTGATGAGCATCGGAAGTATTTCAGACTTATATTTGGGTGGTACTCAACTTATGATTTTAGTTGCTATTTGTTACATTTCTTGTATACCACCCAGATCATACGCCCGAAACGTTTCTGACGCTTTAAAGTTGACCAAAAAATAAATGGTCGGGATTTCCCTCGCGTTTATACGTTGGAAAAAAAACAATGGAAATTAGGAATAATCAATGATAACATGCATATTGGCTTGGGCTAATATTTATAGTGGAGCCGAAATATATATTGAAATTCAAACTCAAATTGAAATTTAAATTCAAACTCCAATTACATATGAAATGAATTTGAAATGCAGTGTTAAATTGAACATGAAAATTGCATAATTGATTCATACTGTTCAAGTAACATGCTTTATGAACCATCAAGCTAAAAGACAATATTGATTGAGTTCAAAGCTGAGTTGTGAGTTGATGGAGTTGTCACACTTGTCACATGGTTGGAATAAAGTACTCACATGCGAGATAGATTGTTTTGTTATACATAACCCATCTCAACTGAATGAAAATATACATACAATATAATCAAACCAAAACATACTTACACAACAAATTTATATATAACAATGTTCAAATAATGTACCCACAAAAACGAAATTAATCCAATGAAAAAGAGTTATTTCTAACAAAGTCTGGAACATTATTTTTCCAAATAATGTACCCATAACAATGTTCAATTAATGTACCCACAACAATGTTTAATTGATTTGTTGTTTAATTTTCAATTTGAATTATTTGATTTAATAATTTTATTTGCACAAAAAATTATTTGATTGTTTTGATATTTTATAAAATAATATTTAGAATTTTTAATTTAATAATAATATATATCGTAACGTAAAAAATAAATCATTAGACGCCTATAATTACTAAATTAATATCTTAAAACTCACTCAAAAGATAACCTTAAATTAATGTTTTCCACAGTGAAAAAAGTATGGACACTTTTATAAAAAGGATAGACACTTTACAATATAACCACTACCTATTACATTATATAAACGATACCTATTACATTATATAAGGGCTACCTATTACATCATATGTTTACCTATTATATTGAAAGTGTCCATACTTTTTATAAAAAGGATCGATACTTTTTTTAAAAGTTATGTAATTTATGTTTCAATTTTTTTAACAGTGTTTCATGTTTTCCACCTACAATATTAATTTAATAATTTCATTTACACAAAAAATTATTTGATTGTTTTGATATTTTATAAAATATTATTTAGAATTTAAATTTAACAACATTAACCAAAGATAATAATAAATATGTAATATATATGTTTATTGTTTTTAATTTAATAATAATATATACCGTAACGTAAAAAATAAATCATTAGACGCCTATAATTACTAAATTAATATCTTAAAACTCACTCAAAAGATGTATATACCTAAATATGTAGTTAACAAACATACCTAAATATGTAGTTATTGTACATACCTAAATTTAATGATAATACTTGTAGTTATTGTACATACCTAAATATGTACTGCGAATTTAATGTTGTACCCACCCTTTAACTACCACTACCAATGCCACATCCTATTGAAAGCAGCACGACAGAAACATGTTCAAAATGAACCTTTGTTTACATCTCCATCAACTCCTGGAGCACTGAACTTGCACAACAAAATTTTTGCCATGGATAATACTGATGTAGACAATGTTAAGCCAACCGAGGAATGCCATGAAGTACATAATGTTGATGAATCTGACAGATTGGTTGGTCAGCTCTTCTGTTCACGTGATCAAGCTTGGCACTTTTACAAGGGATTCGCACGGGAACATGGGTTTAGTGCACGTAAGGGAACAACACGGCTTGACGTGGAAGGGAATGTGAAGACACAAGAATTTTGTTGTTCCAAAGAAGGGTTTCGAGTATCAAAAGTCAATACTGTTGATCATCAACGTGCTCATACGCCAGTCACAAGAACAGGATGTAAGGCTAGAGTCGTAGTTACAGCAACAAATACAAACGATTAGTGGGTTATAAGTAAGTCTGATCAGAAACATAATCATGCATTGTGCACATCTGCTATGACACCATTTATGCGTTCTAATAGAGCTGTAAGTAAGGCTGATATCGATGAGGCAACAACATTGAAAGAGGTCGGTGTTGGCACGTCACAAGTAATGAACTATTTAACGCAGCAGGCAGGGGGCTATCATAATGTTGGATTTACACATAAAGACCTCTACAATGCACTTCAAAGAGGTAAAGCAAAGGAAATCGTCGATGGGGATGTGAATGCGCTTATTGCCTACTTTGATTATAAGAAACATGATGATCCCGGGTTTTTTATGACATACTCGGTAGACGAATCGGGGGCATTGTATAATCTTATTTGGTCGGATTCTACATCGAGATCGGATTACACATGCTTCGGTGATGTAATTGCGTTCGACACAACGTACAAAGATAATTTGTATGGTCGACCAATTATGCCTATTGTTGGTGTCAATCATCACCATAACACAATTGTGTTTGCCACTGCCATAATCGCTGACGAGACGTCTCAATCTTTCGAGTAGGTGCTACAGAATTTTTTAGAAGCCATGATGAATAAATCACCTATTTCTGTTGTAACCGATGGGGATAGGGCAATGCAGAGGGCTATCAAATCTGTTATCCTTTATGCTAAGCACATATTATGTTCTTGGCATCTTTCTCGCAATGCACAAGCTAACATTGGTGACCCAAAGTTTACAGCAGCATTCTCAAAATGCATGGCTTCCTGGTGGACAACCAAGGAATTTGATATTCAATGGCGTTCGATTGTTTCAGAATTCAACGTCCAAAAGCATCCATGGGTGATTGAGAAGGGAAATACACGACACTTATGGGCACAAACATATCTAACCGGTCATTTCTTTGCCAATATTCGCTCAACACAAAGGTGCGAGTCTATGAATGCTTCACTAGCTATTGCACTGAAACACAAGAAGACATATTTAGATGTTGTTCGTGCAATTGAAGATGGAATTAGTAGAATGCGTATGAACGAGTTGAAAGCGGATTACTTAAGTTCCCATACGAAGTCCTTCAAGATCACAAAACTGGTCGAC